GTAGTGTTCATTCAATTGCATTTCAGACCCACTGGAAAGAAAACTCCTGGAGTAGCCCCCCTCCCCTTTGGAAATTTACCTCTGTAAGGCCCCCTACCCCTCGGAATTTCCGTGACCCTCCATGGGGGGGAGGGTATGGATACTTTCTGGAACTACACAATGTATATTCAATATCATAATGATGATAGCAAGGAAACCATTGTAATATTAATGTCTTTCTTTTAGCTCTACCAATGGTTTCCAAAAGAACCACACATTCTCCTTTGCCAATGTTCTACCTCATGGAGTTTGCAGTGTTGTGTATCATCCTCAGCACAGCCTGTTGATTATTGGCAGTCTTATTGGTCAGGGGCAGAGAAATTCGACAGGTGAGTATAAAAAGAAACTATAATCTTAACAAGTGGACAGCGGATGTAAAACTTGTTGTTCCAGTGGTAAATCAAATAGAACGTTCCATTCCACTGGAGATGTTTTGGAAAAAAAGAATATCTTCAGAGGTATTTCTCTTTTCTAATTTAAACTAGAGGAATTGGAAAATCACTTCACCATTTCCTTTGGTCACACTATTCCCATGCTTTTTTCATGAAATACACAGCCATTCTCTTGGGAAATGAAATTGCATACTGTGAAACTGTTAGCATACTGTTAGTCTTCTGCGTGTTGGTTATTTGGGTTGTCATGCAACAGTCCTCCCCCACTGGGAACATTGCATGGTAAAGTCTGCATACAAGCTAACTGGCTCATCAGGCCAGAGCTTATCTCAGTTTCAGTGGCATGAAGCGACTAGGAGTATTTCTACTCCCCCCTGGATGGGATGCTAGTCCATCACAGGGTTACCCCCAGCATTAAGTTCGCTAGTACCCATTTATTCACCTGGGTGGAGAGAGACACCGTGAGAGTAAAGTGTCTTGCCCAAGGACACAACACAATGTCCCCAGCCAGGGCTTGAGCCTGGACCGCTTGATCCAGAGATGAGTGCACTAACCGTGAGACCACCACACCTCCCACAACATTGCATGACAACCCAAATAATGGGTGCATAGGAGACTTGTAACTTATTTTAGCTATTTGTCATCATACATTTTAAAAGTGTAAGCTAATAATTGCTAATATCAAGATTTGTTTTGTTTAAAAACAGATGAGTCATGCCCAGCCTCTCAGTGTGGTTTGACAGCATGGAGGATTCTTTCAGGGTATCCACATTACAATCTCATCGAAGATGAAGGCACTAAGTTTATTAAGGTTGGTCGCAGCATCTGTGAATGCAGTGAGCTGACAAGTTTGTTGAAGTAACATTTTAATTTTCCTCCAAAGCTAAAACTTATTGTGATGATGCATCACTTAGAGATGTTTTAACATAGTTGTATTTATGATTCAGGCTGGATCTGGGATTTTAAACAAGCTTAGAAGTTTCCCGCTACTTAACCCAAGAACTGAGGGACAGGTTAGAGACCTCTCTATAGTGTTATTCCTCAGTAATCTTGAGATGAAAAGCTTGACATGCATCTAACTCCAAAAAACATGTCATAAGTATTCACTTTTTGTTGAAATTTATTTAGTTTTAGTGTTTAAAAAAAAGTGAAGCCTTTTTGAGCCGAATGGCTTATAGCTGCTGGAGCTTATCCCGATTTCTGTAGCATGAAGCGGCTAGGAGTATTTCTACCCCCCCCCCCCCCCCCCCCCC